GCTGCAGGACAATGGATGCAGCTGGTGAGACCGAGCCCTGGGATGGGCTGGGGGCTCAGACATGGGCTTGGCATGAGCCCTCTGGGGCTCTGCCCTTCACCTGCTCCATGGCCTTTGACAGGGGCTCTTCTCTGAGCCTCAGTTTCCTGTCCTCTAAAGTGGGGCCAGACTTCTACCTACCTCCCAGGGCCGCGGCTCAGAGTGGGGACCTAATAAGCAGCAGCTGTGATACATGGCTGTCCTGGTTGGGCACGACATCTGCCAGGGACCCAGGGCCTGCTCTGACACACGGAGAAAGCGGTGTGCAATGCTCCGTGGGGTTGGGGTCCCCGGGACCCACCACCTCTCCCTGGGAATTGGGTCAGGGCTGGGCTCACAATTACAGAAAGAAAGGCAAGAAAGCTTAGGAGCTGGGGAAGCAAAGTGACAGCCTTGTCCAGAAGCGTGTCCAGGACCTTGGGGACAACCAGCAGGGCCCTGGGGCCAATCGGGAAGCTTGCCAGGGCCTGCCAGGGCCAACTGCACAGCTATCCCCACCCCCACAGCTGGCACACCGTGGAGTCTACACCATGGAAACGGGTGCACATGGCCCATCAGCACGCCCCCGCAGCACGCACATGGCTGTGGGTAGACATTGCCGAGACCTCCTATGGTGGGAAACCTGCCCCGCGGGCTGGGGCCTCATTAGCAAGGGCTGTGGCTCCTGGAGCTGCCTGCTGATGGGGCACCGGCCCCTGCTTGCTGCCTGGGGCAGTACTGGCTTTCAGCCTCAGGTGCCCACACGCTCAGCGTGGCCAGAGGCCTCCTTACTCCTGCAGCGCTAGTCACAGAGGAAGCTCATCTGTTTCCCTTTGTCACCCAGTCCTGAGTGGAGCTACCAAGGACGAGAGGGGCCTCAACCCTGGAGCAGGGCCCCAGATCCCCACCCTTGCTATTCTGGGAGAGCAGCTGCTCCCCAGCAGTGGAGGGACAGCCGGCCGGCCAGGCTGGCCTCCTGCCCCGGGGCTGACCGGCTCCCTCCAGTCTGCTGGGGAGGCCTAGCCAGGGGACACTGGGGAGGCTGGCCTGGCCACCCTGCCTGCCCACAATGGTGCTTGCCCAGGTCCCAGAAAAAAGCCTGGAGCCTGCGGGTGGGAGGCCTTGCTGGGCCCAGAAGCTCACGTGCACCTCAGGGGCTCATGGGATGTGAACCCAGTCGCTCTGGGCAAGGCCTTGGTTGGAGAAGGAGCCCTTGACACAGGGATGGTTTGCTCAGAGAAGGGAACGAAGCTGAGAACCCCCTACCCCGCCAAGAGAAGTGGGTAGGCGTAAGCCCTGCACCACCCAGTAACCGCTGGCTTTATCCCCTCCTAGGTCTCGCTAGACTTTGTGAAGAGTGGCGACTACGCCCTGGAGAGGATGGGGGTCACCTACGCTGCCCAGGCCCACCTGAAATCTCCCTTCGACCCCGACAACAAGAGGGTAAAGGGCATCTACTGACAGGGCCACAGCCGCTCCGGAGGCCCGAGCCTGCCACCCAAACAGCGCATGGTCCAAGGCCCCAGTATTGGGTCCTCTCCCTCCTTGGATCTGCCTGGTCCTGCTAGAGCTCCCAGACCAGCCGTGGACAGAGAGGCCGAGATGGCCAGTCCCAAGGTCATAGACCAAAAAGTGCACTAAGCCTCTAGCCCTCCCCGAGACAAACTTGGAACACCTCGGGCTCTGGGACCATGCCCTGGGGCCCTCCGTGGGCTCCACGGGCTCTGGACCATGCCCCGAGGCCTTCCACGGGCTCCTCGAAGGGGCTTAGTAGATGCTGGGTAAGCCCAGAGTAAACTCAGGAGGCAAACAGGCGTCATGGTTGTCGCTGTCTGTTCGAAGTGTCACTGAGTGCGGTGGGCTGCTGGGGCACTTGGCGGCAGCCGTGAGGCTACATCTGGAATCAGGGAGAGGTGGTGACCGACTGGCACTGTCATCCACGGGCATGGTGCCAGAGGCAGATGTGCCCTATGGGCATCACCCATGGGGTTGAGGATGGCTCATTGCTCAGGTCTTGGGAGCAGAGGGGAAGTGTGTGACCCTTCAGGTGAGGACGTTTCCAGCCGGTGAAAAGGTAGGCAGAGCAGGTGTGGGAGGGCCACGGACCCATACCTTCCCCGACCCTAGCAGAAGGCCAGCGCCTGCCTCGGTTACTCCTTGAGCCCCGTGCATGCCAGGTCTTGGAGGAGGGGCTTGCTGCTGGGTAAGACCGGATAACTCCTTTCTGGGTGGCTTCTGTCCTTGCTGTGGTGGGAACAGGGTCCCTGGGAAGGACCCTGCCCCAGTTCTGCCCTGTGCTCTGCCTTTGGGTCAGTGGCTTCCCTGCTCCTTCATGAGCTGCCCCCCGCCCATGCCCAGCCCCTCCCTCTTCACCTTACACTGGGCTCAGCTGACCAGAGGGCAGTGTTTCTCACCCCGGCTGCTGAGAGCTGCTGCTCCGGGCCCTGCGGGTGGTCCCTGTAACCTGCTGAATAGCCTCTAGTGCTGGGGCAGGGCTCCACAGACCACAGGCAGCAGCGGGGTGATTCGGGGTGCCCACCTCCCCACAGCCACTGCAGACTGAGCGGAAGCCAGCAGTCGGGTGGTAGTGGGGTGATTCGGGGCACCCACCTCCCCACAGCCAATGCGGACTGAGCGGGAGCCAGCAGTCGGGTGGCAGCGGGGGGGTTTGGGG